TCGAGGAAGCTAACTCTTACGTTGTCTTAAGGAAGGATATCGCTTGCCATAGCAGAGAGTTCCTTTTGCATCAGCGCTTCCAGGCTGGACTTATTCAACTCGGAAGTAGGCAATGTATAGGTAGGCCACCAGCACAGAATGACGGCCCTTTACTCAAGGTTCTTGAGGCGCAGCCGAACGTAACCACCAGTAAGTAGGCCACGGCTCATCTGAGCTATCCACTAACTGACAACTGCCATGCTTCTCCGCAGTCTCGGTTTTTGGAAAAAAATTTTATGAAGGATGCCTCATGAGTTGAACCCCTCTGACAAGTCATACCGAATGACTCCGTGACTGAGTTTTTTCCTTGTACACACTGGAGGAACATTTGTGAGATCTTGTGGTTGGTAGAGAGTGGTGGGGTCCTTGCGTACATCTTGCACATGTTCCTCGCAGGATCTCTCAGAGAGAAAAGTAGATTGCACAGCCAAAAGCATGTGTGCATGGGAAAAGATTTCAGTAGGTTATTGGTGGGACTTCAAAGCGGTATCTCTGGATACTAGCATAACGGTAAGGACTACAGTCCTCTCTAACCGACCTCACAACATGGATGACGTCAAGCTTGAATTCTTCAAAAATACTCAATTTTTCTCTAGCGCTCGGCATTGCGAAGACCGCATGTTAAGATCAGGCCACACCAAAAGATCGTGGATCTCGATCTGAGTATCGACCCATAACCAGCTTATTCATCGAAAGTTAGGCAAGTTCTAAACTACCACCATTTTTGATCCCTACCGCTCATCCTTAAGAAGGCAAAAATTCCGAAAATCGACGTCTACTCAAAAATGAGGTCCACCTCTTCTTCTTATCATAGTTGCCGTAGTTCTAGAAGAATGGAAATGAGAAGCTGTGCAAAAGAAGGGCACTAGTCCTAGTCCTTAGTGGTGATAACCTTGTCGATTGGAGATGTCTTTTAGTGACTGAAAATTTAGTCCGAAAAATTGGTCAAAGTGTCGCAGGACTTTTCGACCAACCTAATAGAAAATAAACAGTGAAAAAACTGCACTCCAAACCAAGCCACGTCTCACGTTTCGATCGTTTGGCAGAAATCATGTCTGTAAGTAGCAAATCGAGTAGAGAATGGGTATAGATGGTCGCTCTATACCCACTAAACTCTAATACCCCAACACCCTTAGTTACCAATTCGTGTTGTCTCTACTTGCCACGATTTCAACAAATCTAGTGGAAATTTATTTAGAAATGCGTGACATATTTGGCTGTATTGAAAACTATCGGGCGCAGTTCGTTGAACAAATGATAGCACAGAACATTGATGCAATTCTGTGCCCTGCAATGGTGAGAAAGTTCTGTTGAGTTTTTATTAAGAACAAAACGTAAGAGGAAAAAAGCTTCAGGCGGTATACCCTATGAAAAAGGGAATACCTAACAAACTGTTCGCGGGTTGCTGCTACAACGCGATTTTCAATCTTCTTGACTTCGCTGCTGGTAAATTTCCTCCGTTCCATCAGTTTTTTTTTCAATGAAGCGATAGTTATTATTTAGGCGTTGTACCATTTACGAACGTCAACGAAGACGATGAGAAGGCATTAGTATCCTATCCAGAGAAGGACCCGTGGGATAAACTAATCAAAACTGACTCCAAGGTTAGTGAAGAAAATCAGTACATAGTGGTCAGTTTATTCCGATATGTATTACAACCACTTTGCAGGGATGCGTTGGTCTGCCAGTTGGAATACAAATAGCCGTCCCTCCGTATAGGGAAGAGATCGGCCTTCGCCTTTTGAAAGAGCTTGAAATGAATCGACCAAACAAAACGAACGTTCAAAAAGCATAAATAAAATAAATAGAAATAAATAAACGTTAAATGATGATGAACTTGCCGAGAATCAGATATTCGTGGTACCTTTCCGTTACACCAGGGACCTTACAGTTAAAGATGAATATCAATTTGAAGCGCGCACAGTCAATATCTACCTATCAAAGTCATTGCTAAACAATGGCCATACGCGCCAGGCAAGCCATCATTGGAGATCCCCCAACGGAGGGGGTCGTATTTGCCTTCTGGCCTTCTGAAAGGGGTTGCTTACTTTTTGTGGTTTTTCTGCTTTATATGTGCTATATACCACTCCCCCGATGGGGCGAGAACTATAGGGGGGAGGGAGTTAGCAGCTAGTGCGCGCCCGCAAATGACGATGGTTCCAGGTAGTAGATGGCGACAACGGGCAATTCAGAACCGAAAATAGTCATGAATGTCTACGATGACGGGGTCTACATGAAGTCCGGTGCTCCAATCGACAGGTTAACACGATGTCGCTATCTACTGCGTGAAACCATCGTCCTTTGCGGGCGAGACGTCGCACGCAACGCCCAGCAGTGCGG